GCTGCACAATGGGGACCGAGGTAACCACCAAAACATAGGTTTTGTAAGACAGCCTGTTAAAAGAAAAATACTATTTAACTATGTATGTGTTTGTCCTTTCTATAACTGTTTTGTGTGGCAAACAAAACCCCATATACAAACTTCACTGTGGCGGCACATACAGCTGTTCCAGCCATCGGGTGTCAGGCTTGAGATAGTCGCTTCCAGTTTATTTTCCCAGGGCACTAATTCTTGATGCAGTTTATATTTTCACGTTTGGATTTATGGTCAGGAAATTTGATATGAAAGCAAACATATTGCACTGGCTTTATGAAACTATTTTATCAATAGTCCAAAGACTTGGTAGCTTGGCATTGCTCTTGGATGAAATTTGTCTGTAATGCTCTTTAACAATAGCTAGCAGCCGGGAATTCAGTACTCAATAGCCATTTACACCTCTGTAAAAGGATTAGCTCCAGCCAATTGTTACACTGTTTAAATCTTAATTTGCATCTTTATGGAGGTAGAGCTTCTGCAGACCTCTATACTTCTCAATTGTATTTGTGTACCTGTGGGTGGGAGGTCACTGGAGGTTTTCTCTTATAAAGGTGAAGGTGCGAAATTGCTTCAAGAAGACCAGTAAGCTACACAAATTGAATTAGCTTCCTGGTTTTGACTGACAAAAGTTCCCTCTGGTTCGCTAGTTATATTTTGTAGCAGTTGTGGTCTTTAAGCATTTGCGTTTGGGAATGCATGTTACTACTTCTGCTTAAACTAAAGAACCCTCATGGGTCTTTGGAGGATTTTAAGTGTTGTTCATTGTAATCAACAAATATCCATGGAAATTAAATGTAAGAAAACAGAACTAGAACTTGATAAAGTGATAGTTTTAAAAGTAATCTTTTCTAGACAGACCATGTGTTCTTAGTTTAAAGATCAAAACCTTCCTGTGTTTTGGAAGGAAGGTAGGGTCAAACATGGGAGGAGGACATAGTTTCAGGGCCAGTGTTTCTGCAAACATTGGAATTGGAAACAAAAGCGGGTTTGGTTTGTCCCTTTCTCACCTTTCTGTGTATGGGTTCTTCTTAAATAACAGGCTCATAGTTTGTGGACCACTTCTACAATTGATGCCTCTTGGTTGTTGCTCATTTTGAAATACAATTTCTTCCCTATAACTTTGTTCTGGATGTGACCAACTATATAGCACTTTATGATTTTTCTATCTCATTAAAAATACAGTAAATAGGGCCGGCTGAGTGGCGCAATGGTTAAGAACTGGC